CTATGATGACTGATTGCGTTCGTCCACTGAGGTAAGTGGAGAACCACTTGAGTACAGTGTCGGAGAAACCAAAATGGCATCTTAGCCTGGATATGAGGATATCATGATCCAAGGTATCGAAGGCAGCGGACAGATCTAGCATGACAAGGACAACATCTTGACGATGATCTAGAGTCATTAGGATGTCGTTCAGAACACGTAAAAGTGCAGTTTCTGTAGAGTGATTCTTGCGATAAGCAGACTGCAAAGGTGGCATCAGCTTATTTGTTTCCAAGTAATAATATGTTTGAAGAGCTACAACTTTTTCGATGATTTTGGCTAAGAAAGGAATGTTTGCTATAGGTCTTTAGTTTTTCAGAATCTCAGCTTGATCAAGATCTGGTTTCTTCAATAGTGGACGTATAAAGGAATGCTTAAGACAAGTGGGAAACACACCAGTTAACAATAATTCGTTGACAATAGCAGTTATGAGGCACGATGTCATCAAGATGGTCTTTCAGTAATCGGGTTGGCATAGGATCCAAGGGACAGGATTTCGTTGATAGGGCTTTAATAACATGATGAACCGAAGTGCAGCTTGTTAAACTAAACGAGAACAGTTCTTGACAAACTGCTTCGCCGGCGATAGAGTAACAAGTACCAGTTTTGAAAGTTTTCTGTAGCTCGTCTCCAAAGCCGATCATTCTTTGAATGAAGAAGTCATTGAAGTCTTCAACGAGCTGGGTTGATGAATTATGAGTCGGTAACACTGGTGATCTTGGGGTAAAGAATCCATCAACAATTTTGAACAGTTGACGAGTGTTCGCGTTCTCGATTTTATCTTTATAATAACTACACTTGGAAAATTCAAGCAAGTTGTTGTAAGCAGCACACGATTCCTCAAAAAGTTGTTTGTGAACAGCAAGCCCTGATTTCCTATATTTGCGTTCTGCCTGTACGACGTGAGGTAAAATTAAACGAAAAGAAGCTTAAAAGTAGAAATAATGATACAGAAACCATGGATCGACGTGCTGCCATGTTATGCGCATACATTATTATGACCTAAGGATTACATAATCACGATGTGTGTCACTATTATTAGACCTATTTCATCTTCTTCTAATTCCAGACGCCTCGCTTCAGTCAATAAGCCTATTAGTAATGCTATTCCACCTATAGAGAGTCCTTAAGAAATCTCTTCGCGACATTGTACCAGATATTTCTAAATTCAGTACACACTCTGCCAGATCAGGTGGTGCGACTTTGGCTGCGAACTCTGGCGTGTCTGATAGGAACCTCCAACGTCACGGCCGTTGGGCTTCAGTCTCTGCCAAGAACACTTACGTAAAAGAGTCTCTAGCCAACAGATTAGAGGTTTCAAAGTCATTGTTTCTTTAGCTCTAGCCCTTTCTTTTCAACTCCATGGTGGCTTGGCTGTCCAACGCGCCCAATTTAATCACGATGTGTATCCGCATGAGTAGTGGAGGCAAAATATGTAATTTGTGATAATCTTAAATTAGCATAAATTAGTATTTTGCCGGCACGGAGCAGAGGCTTGGGGGCGAGTTCGAGGTTCCCAGTGCTCAGTGGGATTAGAGTTTGAAATTAGTTACGGTTAGCAGGGTGAGACATTCTAGGGTCAGCCTTCATCGTGTGCAGTTGTAAAGTTGGTTTCAATTTTCTTGGTCATGCATGAACGTTATTCCTTTAGCCCTGTCATTTTATTACATCACTGTAATCTACCATATTTATGTATACTACGTTTAATTTAGGGTACCCTAAAACCTCAAGGGTGGCACCACTGCCTTGGTCGGGGGCACTCGTTCCCTTATTTTATTCCACCTGCTGGTTTTTCGGGGTTTTCGTGTCCGGCTTTGGTGCGATTAGTTTTCGGATATTTGTAGCATTTATTGGCACTGAATAAATGGCAGGGTGGCTTGGCTGGCCAACGCGCCCAATTTAATCAAGATGTGTGTTCGGATGAGTACGAGGCAAAATAATAAAGAACCTTAGAAAGCGGATGAGAAGAAATTATTCACAAATTCAAATAAGTTTCTCACAGGACCTTTTGCGTCAAGCTAGCCACAACATATAATCTGCTGGTGGTGAGTAACATCAAAACGGTCATTAGAAGAGTCTTCATTGTCCACAGATTGGTCCTGTCGAAAATTAAAAAAAAAACCAGTCTAATCACAGAACCAACACATTATGCTAGCTGAACCAAGTAAAGTAACCAAGTGAACCGTTCGTCATGTGCTTTCTGCTGATCTTTTCTACTGAGGAAATTCTTCGGTTCTTTTTCACTGTATTAGTATAGGTAATCCTATGAATGCGAATGCAATTAAGGATTTACATTACCAGTGATATTTCAAAATCCTCTCAAATATCACGAGTAGTGCAAATCCTCAATTGCTCCGAGCTGGTTGACGCTTTGACCTAACAACGTTGATTATATTAGCGGTATTTATTTTTATTTTTATCTCTGATCGATTCTAGTCCGACTCTGTGCGCTCACGAAATTTTCGTTGCAATGACATTCAGCTTAGATGTGATTTTGTTTGGTCTCGTGGGAATTTCGAGAGCCGCTATTCAACCAAGACTTCTGAGCAGTTTGTTCAGTCTTAATTATTCGATCTGGTCGGGCATTTTTGTCGAAACAGCCTTAGCATCACTGTTCGGGCGCATTAGACACGATTGAAATGTCGCAATCACTCACTTGTGAAGGAAAGCAGTACCTGAATTGTCTGAGAGGTAAGAATATACTTAACGGTAGAACAAATAGAATATCAGGTGTTAGCATTTAACATCAAACCAAGGAGAAAATAAAATAAACTGGACGCTCCCTTCTTCAATACTTACTCAGTGTCCCTGTTCAAAATTGTAGTAAAACTTTTTTTTCCATATGGCAAACTTTTGGTTTGTTTGTGTAATGATAACTTCGTAAAAACAAGTTTGTGAACTGCCAAAAGATTTGAAATTCTAATTCATTTTATTTCTAATTTTAACACGCACTATTATTCGGTGAAACAATTCAGTTAGTTGAAGATTTGTCCAATGGGATGAGGCCTTATATTCTAGACTTGGTTGCCGCATAAATTTAGAGTTTCAACCCCTGTAATTTCTCTAAGAGCACTGTAGTTCAAGCGTGCGAATGCACCAATTTCTTATCTGTTTTTGTCCCTGATATTTCACACTGTGCGAAGACTCGCTTCTTTTTATAGAAACTATGTTCACTGTTTTTAATAATTTCATAAATTGAGCTCTGGGGAAACAGCGAGTCGGATTAATAAATTGGGCTGTCTTGCAAGGATATTTCACTTCCGGGTGACTGCCGTTTGTTTGAAAGTGTCTCAAGCATAACAGGCTTTAGACTGTTCACAACCTCTCATTTACGCACGCGAAAGAAAAAGCGAGCGAAGAGAACGCGAAGTCTTCCGTTTTAAGCTCGGATCCAGCTCTTTCGCGATTCTATCCGCGCGTTCAACGATCGATTAAAAATGCCAGAAAATGGAGGGCTGTGAACAGTCTAAACGGTCTTTGTCTACTAACTCTTAATTCGCTGGCCGTTCATAATGTATTTGTAAGCAAGCAACTAGTCGTGATCCATATGTTAATAATCGCTGTAGTCTTACAACAGAACGAGAGATAATGGACATAATGTCTTTGTCAACAGGTTTCTAAAGGGTTATAGGGCTACATCCATCGCCATTGAACATTAGCTGTACCTGTTAATCTGCCGAACAATCTAAAACCAACCTCGATTCATCTAGATTTGTTGCGGACTTCAGGTTTAGACAGAATATTGACTTTGGCGCTAGATTAATTAAAATTCACTTTTCAACATGAAAATGTTCTTCCAACTGGGTTATCGACAGATATATTTTCCAAATTTTTAGAGACGAAATTTGCCTGTGATGTTGCTCGTTCCGTAAATTTCTTCTTGACAAAAGATCTCGCAGATCACGAACTTTCAGTACTTTTCGATAGTTGCCTCTAGATTTTAACTCCAGCCGATTTTATATTAAACGTAAGGCAGACATACCAGCCGAGGCGACCTTGTCGTTGTTTGCCTGTGGTTGATTGAGTTATCCAATCAAAATAGCACGCCTTCAGGTCCTTTGAGAGCGCAAGCGAACTAAATTGGGGCTATCATATTTTTTCCTTGACGGCTTTTTACTTAATTTCGAAGTGACCCTTGTCTAGGGCTAAGCTTCGCAGCGCAGTCAGCGCTAGTTGATCATGAATGAATTTACTGATGGAATCGTGTCTGTTGTCAAGTATAGGCAATTAAACGCGACTTTGAGAATGGCAATGAGATAGGACATTAGCATAGTAAAGGCGTTCTTGACAGTCGCTATTTATGATTTCACCCTACACGCAGCCTATCCACGAAAAATGAAATGAATAGTCTGATCTACCAGTAAAGGACTAATACACTATTGTATGATTGATTTTCGAAGCTCTGACTGACTCCTTTACCACACCTGTACCAATAGCTAGCAAGGGATGTATGGATGATTCATAGAAAATGATGCCTCTTGACAAATTTAAGCCGAGTCTCGAAATCTAAATCATCACACACACAAACGTTCCGAGTAGTCATATTTACTAGCGGGGACTCAGTATTAACTATGATGCGATAGACATGGAACTGAAAGAACTATCATTTGTTAAAGATATACATGACATTTTGTTATGTATGCTGGATATACCGCTTCAGTTTTCTGTAACGTTTTTTCGATTTATTCAACTTTAGGTAATTTACACATGAATCAGCGACACGCTGGCCTCTACATTAAAAGATATGTTTAATACCAGGATACCATGGCACTATTCAAACGGAAAAAAAATTCAACAGAAGTGAGTTGCAAATTTGAGACGAAACATGAAATGATAATAACCCTTGAAAGTAATAAAGTTTCTAACATGTGGTTAATTTTCTTTATATCTCGAAAGAAGAAATCTTATGCCACATCTTGTCGTACGTTTTAAAAATTATTATCTGTTTAGGGCTACCTTATGGAGTAAGCTAATAAGATTTAAATTTGTCAATTTGTTCGCTGCGGTAAAACTGAATGGTCTGTTAACAGCCTAACATGTCGCAGGACTGTAATGTTTCTTATATTACGGCTGAGGAGCGGGTACTTCTTCCACCACAATCCGGGACACCGAATTCCAGCCAGAATGCGCGTCTGCATTATCGTGACGTGCGCAGTTTCCCACGTTGATCCCCACACGCACTCCTCCCTTAGGAATGTTCTGACAGTACCCTTCAATATGGCGGAC